GAGTCCACTTCCCTAATTCTAGCTGTGTGAGAGTTCCTTAAGCCTATAACAATCATATAGACTCTTTTCTTCTCCATGGAGTGAGATAGTCATATCCAGAGGGGAATGAGTTCCCACCATCTTATGTAGCTGTTTTGGGATGAAAAGAATTATCATCTGAAAATGTATTTTTCTCTCCAAATGCTGTATAGGGAGTCTAGGCAATGGGCAGAGATATGAGTATCAAATATCTGCCATCTAATCCTGGGTGAGGTGAGTTCTGTGTTTAATATCTAACTCCCCTTTCAGGCATTCACACAGAAATTAGACACCTAAACATCTTTTTCTCTCTGACTACCACGTAACTAAAAGCCAAAATTTATAAATGGGACCAAACAATGTAGGTGCTTTGTCGAGTTCAATGGGAGAAAATGAACCTGTTCCCAATTTAGTCCTGTGTTTGCAGAGAGGATAAAATCCAACTGGGAGGTTTGCTGATTTAGAAATAAGTGAATTTTCTGGAATATGCACAAAAATAGTATGAATTGTCCAATGTCAGCCTAGGTGACACAAACTCGATACAGAACAGATAAAGACAACCCTTTCTTCCAACTCCACACACACAGACATGTATGCAAAATCCAGAACATAATTATAATTCATAATACAAGTAGGTCTATGGGTTTGGTAGAATTTAAATTATAGTACAAAAAGTCTACTTAACGATATTTTGGATGAAACTCCTCTACCCTTAGAGTACATGGAAATCTTACATTATTCTTAATGACTCTGAAGAGCCCCCCAATATTAAAAGAATAGCTCTCAGGTTTTGTGAGGTTTTTGAAGAGAAAAAAAAAGATTGTAATACAAACCATATGTATTTGGTTGCCAATGAGACTGATTTATTTTTTTTTTTTAAATCAAAACCAACCTCTAGCAAACAGAACAAATAGAAGTGGAGATCTGAGAAGTCATAATGTGTGTAGCATCTAAGCTGCAACTTTGCCTGCAGATTCAGCCAAGATTAAGAGCTACCAAAACAAATCGTGGCCTTGCATTTGGTGCCTCTGACTCCACCGTGACGCGCAGTTGTTCATCAAAGATCAGAAGGTTTGTTAATCCCTGTTCCAAGTCCTCTGGCTTTATACACCTTTTATAGTGATGAACTCCAAGGTCTGGGTTTTCCTGTTGTTCTCCATATAGAGTTCTTCTCTACTTTAGGTTACTCTGTTGAACTTCTGCTGTATATATTTTCCAAAACAGTTTTCCCCATAGAAACCAGGAATAATAACTTTTTAAAAAGCTGTGGAAAATATTTCAAATAATACTAAGCTTCTACTGCTTCCCCCCTCCAAGCTCAATCACAATAAATATTTAAAAGGGACAGGGAAGTTATTCAAATACAAGGCTGCATTTTCCATTACATTAAAAAAATTAAAATAGAAAATGGAGTCTTTGCTACTTCATTAACATTTTTTTTGTTAGATCCATTCTTTTAGATAAAATGAACAGAGTGTAATTAAAACAAACACAGCAAACCTTTCTCTTTTTTTAAGTAGGGCTGTAAGCTTAAATAAAATTAGTCTTGAAGCTATGTCAATCTCATCTTTTCATATGATGGCACAAATTCTGTAACACAGCATCACGGGGATTCTGTCACTGTGACAAATTTAGAAGTAAAATAAAGACTTGATAGACCATAACATATCACTTGCTCCAGACATTTGCTATATCTTGCTATATTAGCATAAAGCCCTGCTATAAATGATATTGGTACATTTAAAATAAGTCAAGGAATTTATCCCCACTTGCTCAGCAAAATATCCAACAGGCAATTTTCTCCGAAACAGCTACTTTAGTGTCAAACAAAATAACCTCCCTGCATGTGTGAAATGATGGTGATTTCAGCTCTTCACCGAAGATACGGGAGAGCCCAGGAGCCTGTGTGCCGTTACCCAAGTTTGGCTGATGTGTGGTAGCTCTTTATGGTCCAGTGATGCAATTACTAGTGTTGGTGTGCCATAAAGTGCACATAGAAGGAGACCTATGGACTGGTCTGCAGTATGGAAAATGGCTGAGAGAACTGTTGTCAGCTGAAACCAGAACAGCTTGTTATGCGAGCGCTGCCCGGAGTAGAGATACCCTTCCTTTTCTGTGCAGTGAGTTAATTAAACCAAGATAATGGAAGTGGAGAGCGCTCAGCTGGGAGCTATGGCGAATGAGCCCGCACCCGCAGTGGCTGTAGGGTCATTTTCCTCACATTCACAGAATCACAGAATATTCATGGTTGAAAGGGACCTTTGAGATCATCGAATCCAACCACAAAAACAAACAAACAAACAAAACCCAAACCGAAACAACCACGCCCACCCACAGACAGACACAACCCAACAGTCTCGGGCACTAGAGCATGCCCTCAAGTGCCACGTCTACGCGCTTCTTAAATCCCTCCAGGGATGGTGACTCCACCACCTCCCTGGGCAGGCTGTTCCAGTGCCTGACCACCCTCTCAGGAAAGTCATTCTTCCTAATATCTCATCTAAACCTCCCCTGCCCCAACTTCAGACCATTTCCTCTGCTCCTGTCATTATTCCCTTGGGAGAAGAGGCCAACCCCCACCTCTCTACTCCCTCCTTTCAGGGAGCTGTAGAGGGCAATGAGGTCTCCCCTCAGCCTCCTCTTCTCCAAACTCAACATGCCCAGTTCCCTCAGCCTCTCCTCATGACTTGTTCTCCAGACCCCTCCCCAGCTTGGTGGCTCTCCTCTGGACACGCTCCAGCTCCTTAATGTCTTTTTTTGTGGTGAGGGGCCCAGAACTGAACCCAGCCCTCGAGGTGAGGCCTCACCAGTGCCCAGTCCAGAGGCACCATCACTGCCCTGCTCCTGCTGGCCACACTGTTCCTGACACAGGCCAGGATGCTGGTGGCCTGCCCACCGTGGAAATCCCTGCCAACTGGGGGTTTCCAACCTGCTTCGGAGCGAGGTGCCAGATCTCTGCAGGTACCTTAACATCCAGTTAGAATTTTTACCACTTCCCACCCTGGCTA